TTGTATAGGGCTAACTTGTCCTCGTTTGCATTTACAGCTGAAACTTGCTAGTTCCAGTTTGATGCCTCTTGGTCTCCCTTTCCAGTTCATAAAACACCTTCCAGTAATGAAGATCTGGATTACAATATGGATGAAATGCTGGTTTGCTAACACTGAAAATTAGATTAGAATGTGCTGCCAACGTTTCCTTTGGAAGTAATCTCATCCAGCTCCCAGTGAAGGACTGCCATGATTTTGGTAGGTTTTGGACCAATCTAATAAATAATTGAACCAGCTTTGTGGCTGTTCCAGAAGGACATTACTTCACGTGCATAATGAACAGAAGACATCTGCCACATGGTGTATGGCTATGCCTAGTGCGACCTAATGTTGGCGTTCTCATCTTTTGCTTTGACTAGTTTTTACAGGTGCAAACGTACAGTAGTGCTGACTATTTAGCCACATTTGTGGGGTTAAGATCGCTGCCTGTAATGAGGCACTAATGTGCAATATTCTGATTATTGCCTAGATTTAGTGAACCACCAAATAATCATATGTTGATGTATTTACTATTCTACTTGCAAAAAGTCATTATTAATTTCACTCTGTGGTTTAGTAAATTACAGCCTGTGGTTTGCACTATATAGTTGGAATGACGTAGAACCAAATTCTGCCACGTTTAATTTTCTAAAAGGTGACCTTTTCATACATCTATTAGAAAACGCTTGGATTTTCACTAGGACCTTTTGTACCTACTGTGCTAGAATACAGCTCAGAAAAAGGAAACCTTGAAATCCAGCCTCCTTTCAAGCCAAATCAAAAGTTACATTTGGAGAAAAACCTTTGCCTGAAATATTTCTCAAAATGTTTGACGTGTCAATAACTCCCTGATAGATTTTTTGGAGCCTAAATGCCAACCATTATTCCAGATATTACAGGCAAAAAACCCATAAAATATAGGTTAGCAATGATGTTTATTTTTGTTTTTCCTCCAGCACTGCTGTCATCTGTTTGCATTTTTGGGGAGCTAGTGACAAGAGACTGTTCCTGCTAAGTGACTGGTGAAGGAGGAGATGGTTATTGCATTTGCTGGCAGGTCTTGCTTTTGCTTGTTCTGAAAGGTATTGTAGCAATGTCTTTTTCTGTTAGAGACTTGTGGTAAGCACAAAGAGCAGACCTTGCTCTGTATGTCATGAAAATGCTGAATCTTCTCACGCTCTGTGGAAATGTTCCACCCAGATGTCAGCAGCCTGTATGAAATCATCTGTGAGAATTATTTCCAGTCTCTGGCATGACAAGTATGACACTGAGCAATGTCTCAACTGTAGATGCCAAAAGATGCTGAATAACCCCCTTGTTTGACAGGTATTTACAGTTCTGCACTTAAAAACAAATGCATGGCCAGAAACGCTCAGATGTATGTGGTACTCAAGTAATTGCTTAGTGGATTTAGGCAGCATATGCTGCCTAAATATGGTGTTGTGTCACAGCTAGTTACATGGGCATCAGATTTTCTAAAACTCTCTAATTTGTCTAAAGCAAGTACAGGTTTATGCAAGAATAGTGTAAATGAGCTGAAAACTCTGCCTTCTTTTTAGGGAGCAGATTAAAGGGTAAGAGTTATCTACTTTTATTGCAAAAAAAATTTCCCCATATTATGTGTTCTTTATACAGATAGAGCTAGCATCATCAGTTAGCACTGG